AGATTCTAAATGTAAACGGTCATAAAAAAGTATTGAAGATTTAAGCTCAACTTTTTTTTAATTTCCACTAACAACAACTTTTGAGGAACTTTGTATCACATTTTCAAGTTTTTTGACTGAGCAAAAAAATTTTTTGTAGACATTAGTTTAAAAACAACAAACAAAAATAGAAAATTTCATATGCCTATAAAAGGTGTAACACGAATCAAAATATTTTGAAAATTACATGGTGTATTAGATACAAGGATATAAACATTCAGTGAAAATTTTATGTTTCTAGGATATTTTTTAGAGTTACATCAAAAACCAAAATCGTTTTTATTGAAAACTGCAGGGTTTTCGTAAAAATTCCCGTTTTTCCTTAATTTTTTGTTTGTTTTTCCTGCCGCTTTTGAAAACTATTGGGAATTTTTACCTCTTAAAAGTACCAACCAGAAAAGTTGCTGTTGAAGAAAATCGAAGCACTTTTACTGTCCCAAAACGTGATAACAGAAAAAAAAAATTTAAAAAACACATCATTATAAAATCAATATCGCTCTACTCAGAACATAAAATAATAAATAATATAGGAAACTTACAATTCACAATTTATTTATTTTTCTATTTAGAAAACTGGTTGTTATAATTTAAAAGCTCATTAGACTTGAGATATATATTTTAAGTTATTACTTATTATTTGTTTTGCGATATTAGATAGAGCTGAGTATTATAGATAATAATTCGGGTCCACGCGATGATAGTAAAACGCAATAGTTACAATCGTGACAATGTAACACTGATAACTGTAAATAACTGCATAAACATAGGCCATAACTAGACTTTGAAATTGTGGGACTTGAACCTCACCTAAAATTATTTTTTGGTACACTTATTTTTTTTTCAGTGCATTAATAATAATACTTTAAAACCTCTATTTTTGTACTTGGGGATGGATTTTTTTCCACTGATCCCGGGCTCACAAATAAAAATTATGTGTACGCCATGGGTACACTATTATTTATCCATCATAACAAATTCCATTAAAAAAACAAATAATAGTATCAATACGCATTACACTGTATAGTAAAACAAATTTGATTAATTATTATATAGGCTCATAGCTTATAAATAGGTAGGTAAGACGTATTAAACGTAATACAATCAATTCTGTAATTTATTGTAAAATTGCCAAATCTTATAATCTTAAGTACTTTTTAGGTACTTTAATCATACATAGTCATTAAATCTTATAGAAACGTTGTTTCAGATGCCAAACTATATTGTGATGCAAAGGTAGTGTATAAAATAGTATAGTAATATCGTTTTCAAATATTTCAAATAAAAATATACCTACACAGGCATTACAGACACACACGCGCACACACACACCGGTTCTACAGTAAAATGGTAAAATTATGGGTTACCCAGTGACCTTGTTTGCCCGAGTATATACCTACATATGAAGTTTTCTTTGTGTGCTAATTATATTTAGCTTTTTAGTTTTTAATTTTTTTGTTCCGAATTCGACAAACAAAATCCTGAATAATAATTGGTACATATTTTCAAGTCTCTCGCTTTCTACTTAATGATTTTCATTTAATTTCTAATTCCACATAATATTTTAAAATATCTGAGTATGGCTATTGCAGTATTTAAATTATTATTTATTATAACTTATAACCTTATCTAGTTATATGTAACGGATTTGTGTTTAGTGCCTGTACGCTATACACATAAATTGACATAATACTTATATTATATTAAATTAATCTGGGATTATACACTGCAATTCAATATGTAATTAATATAATAATATGTAAGTTCAATGTTTACAATAAAAATATTATGTAATATTATATTATACTTTTTTCAATTAGAATATTTAAGTAAGTAGGTAAAATAAGTACCTAAACCTATAACTATTATTTAATATGAATACTAATAGTCATATGTGAATTTTAGTGTATTTATATTAACTATAAGTTCATATAATATTTATGGATATTATTTTTAATTAAACATGTCCATTGAATGTGGTATATTTTTTTCGAACCGATAAATACTATAGTTCGATTAGCTGCAGGACCAAGCATACAAAATATGATACTGTAACACAAATTTTAAAATGAGATAAACTTTGTAAAATCGTAACTACTTATATAAGACAGACTTACTACTATGCTACTATACTCGCTGTCAAATAATTATAATATAAAGCGATAGGCAAAAATCAAATTTTAATTTTATTTTCACAAACTATTATAAATATTAAACGACGTTAGGATTATAATTGTAGTGATAAGTTCTTGCATTTGTGTGTTTTATGAGAGGTGCCAGCCTGAATTGCCCACATGTTCGTGTGAACCTTAAGGCCAAACATAAAAACTTTAAATTAAATATGAAATACACGCTGACGGCCTTATTATTTATTGCTATCCGTAGCCAAAAGTTTCAGGGAAAAGATTTAATGTAGGTATACTAACTTCGTGTAAAGTTATTCCACGGTCTATTCACATTCCTTCGATGGTCATCAACTTGGTAGCCCATTATTACAAAATAAAAGTGGTATAATTCTTGTCACTTAATCACTCAACAGCAGTCGCTTATCCTCACCCTATCTAGCCTTTCTCCTTTTTTCTACATATTATTCAACAATAGAGATTTTTATATAATGATAACATTAACACATTATACCTGATAGAAAATACAAAAAAAGATTAACAACATTATCAAAATCTATTTTAACCGACAATTTCCTAAATAAATTGTTACATTTTGAATAAAGTATCTCAATAATTACCTACTCAGCAAATAATATAATTTATTTATTCTAATCATGTACAACATTCCGAAATTGGTCTTCATATTATATAATCACAGTTACACTAGCTGTACTACCTACCTATTTAAAATATGTTGACAATTTAACCAATGTTCTTATATATTTACTAGTTTAACTATTTTAATATTCAACTTAAAATTTAAAAAGTTATCTTACACAAAATCATTAAAATAAACTGAACTCCGCTGAAAATCGTTTTTCGAATTCAAATATTTATAACAAACTCTTGCACTAGTTCTATACCTACTAGATACAGTCGTCAATCAACTCTCAACTCTCGAGAACTCGAGTAAACTCATCCCGTAACCAACACCTATAGTCACAGCAGTATTTGTCCAACAGTTTCTACTTTGTAATCCGTGTTTATTAATTTTACATGCATTACTTGATTAAACAATATAAAGGTCAATACATTATCATAGAAAATGTAAATAGGTGCTTTAAAATGGACTTATTTTATAAATTTAACAACATCACATTGCTTATTGTCCATTGAATTGTGAATAGAAATAAATATTAGTATTTAAGGTACCTTCTTATAATCTGAATTAGAATAAAAGATAAAAAGACCATTAGAATTTAGTTTTATGTCCTCATAAACTACGTTGTAAAGCATTTTAAACACCACCTATTGACTTAATTTGTATCATTTATTCGATAAGAATAAATGTAAATATTATAATATTATATACCAATTCGTATTTTAATTAAAAAAACTTCTTACCTGCATAGAACAATAAATGGTTTAAAGTTCAACAATTAATATCATATCAAAACTAAATAATTGTTATAGTATTTTACAAGACATAAATTACATCTATCGTAATTAGTTAGTTTCATCAGGTTTGAATTACGATCAAAATAATTACCTACTACTATGAAGTATGAACTCTACGCATATAAATAACATCGGTTTTAGTTTAACATTAAAATATTAAATTATTATTTAATGGATATTAGGTACCTACTATAGCAGTAGTGCGATAAGTGATAATAATAAAGTATATTATGTTTATTGTACATGGTTCATTCGTGTACCTTTATATTAGTAGATTGTCAACATCTATATCCGAATTTTAATTGTGAATACCATTTTTTTATATATTTTCAAATCAAGTTTAAGTGACAATTAAATAAAACAATTTACAATTATAACGCTCCTTTATTTTCAATAAAAAAAAAACAAACTAAAGTAATTTAATGAACAAAGTGAGACCAGTGGGTTGTAACGTTGTAACGTTAAATAAATAAGCATATAATTCAATCGATTGCATAATTTCTATGCAGTAGTAGATACCGATACTATATTATAAAGTAACTGTTCAAATGACAAACCAATTTTATTCATCTACATAGGTATACCTATAGCTATTGGCTATAAATAACTAATTTTAGATTAATAATGTAAACTATGATAACTACACTTAAAAACAAAATGTAAACTTTAAGTACGAGCTTTCCTTTAAAATGTTGTTAAATTTAAAATTCTGCTATCTATCCACATTTTTCAGTTATTTTCTTGATTTCAGTTTCAATTTAATTGAAGTTTTAACCGGTTTAGGGCTTACAAGTTCTATTTCAAAACTAGTTTCAAGCTCTGGTAAAAAATAATAGCATTATTTAAAAAAATTGTCTCCTAGAGATGTGTCCCCAAATATTTTTAATTTAAACCTACTCAATAATAATTTTCGAGAATCGTCTTCATCGATGGTGGTTATTATGCAGAAATCCTCATAAGTCCGAGAGTTTTATGGTGAGCTCAGTCGTCGTACCATAACAACGATCAACTAACAAGCGTCTCGTAGTATGAATTATTATATTATTGTTAATAACGAACAAATGAACAATATAGTAATGTAATTTTGTTGTTGTACACGATTTTTGGTGCTGACAGCGTGAAAGAAAAACAAAAACCTATATACGAAGACGACCGCCAATAATAATAATTAACAGCTCGCCGCAAGCATATTATTATGTATATGTTTAGACAGTATTATAATAATATAATAATATGTAAAAATAATATAAATAGTACTTCGGAGACTTAAGTGAGCGTCCGGTACGTGGCAACACTGTGCTAATTATTACTATATCTATATATTAAACGTGTCGGTGTGCGTGCGTGAGCGTCAGTGTGTGTGTGTGTGTGCTCTCGCGGCCAACGGTATACGAAAATCCACTGGTGCAGTCGGTAATATCGTGTCCACTGTGATACTTTCTCGTGTATATTGTACCTACACCGCAGTCGTCGCCACGCCGCGCGCCGTCCCGTATTCGAAAAATAAAACAGCGAAATATAAACGGTTTACTTAAAACAATATAATATTATTCTCGATTCGATGTTCTTCTATAATAGTTAATTCAATATCATAAGTTATAATAGTATTCATCAGACGCGTGTGTAATAAAATAAATACGAGTTTAATTATAGTGCATTTGTTCGAAACCGCGTTTTGTTCTTGGACATTCAATTTTTTGGTTTTACCCAATACATTGCGTTACAACAAGCGTGATCTTTGTAGGTATGTCGACTCTGTAAAACGCAATTTTTTTCCACGTCGGGAAGTAAAAAATTACGACAAAAAGAAAAAAAGAAAAAGAGGAAAAAGCGTGTTGATCGCCGATTCATGGTGGTTATTTTGAACACGAAATAAGTGGCTCGCACGTGAGTATAAAAAAAAGAAATTAATAAATCATACGTTTTATTGACACACTCACACATGTGAATATCGCTTTCACTCAAACCTATCCAAGTCGTAAGTACGCGCACGCGACCATTGTAAACACATTTTTTAAAGTTCCGGGAACGGAGGTGAAATCTTTTGGATCCGGAAACGGTTGGTTCGCTGGAATATTTTTATCTTCACGACCAGTGGGTAAAATATTATAAGTACATATTTAATAGACAAACAATATTCTTGCAAGAACCACGGCCTTTACCATACAAAATACATCTATATCAAAACCTATATATAAGATTGATTTTATAAGAAATATGCAAATTATAACCCAATTGCTGTATAAACAGGTGTCCCATATTTCCTAGTGGCGAGTGCGATCGTTTGAGATGTGTAACGGCTTACATATTATATAGATATCTCCTAATAAACATAATATATCTACTCTAGTTGTAAAAGAAACTCACCATGACTAAAATTTTAATTTTCGTAGGTACCTACCTATGCACCTACATAAATTCTAATCCGCTATTCTGTTGGTAACCACAATCGAGTTAAACAAGTTTTTGCCAACTTTTATTTGAAACACTGAAAAAATATTTACCGATATAAAATAATTATTCATCCAGCGCACACACCAAACGGGTTCATCGTATTTTCTTTTTATACATTAACAATAATAACAGTAGATAGGTACCTCTCAATAGGGAGTCATCTCTTACCATGTAAAACATAATAGTAAATATCAATATCATTAGTCTAACTATTGTTCCCAGAATTGACAATTTGTGTTTTGTTGTTGCTTATTGTGATGTTTCAATCAAAATATTAGTACCTACGTAAATAAATACGCGAATTATTAACGGTTGTATAAATTACTACTTTAGTTGTAGAATGTAGACTCATTAGGTGTAGCCGTGTAAGTCACTTATATAAGTCGTAATAGATATGAAAAAAAAAATTATATCAAATTTTGATTATTTTATTTTTATGAATAGTAATATAGTATTTTAAAATAAACCCATTTCTCGGAAGTATGAATTACAAATAATAACTATTCTAGTGAGAACATTATTATAATGCTACACCAATTATATTATTATATTATAAATTAAAATTAAAAAATGTACCACATAAACAAACTCATTGTTCGTCCATATTACCTATATGGCTATATTATGGTTGTATGGTTCACAATAAATTAAAAATACTAAATTAATTTTACATGGATGATCCCAACATAATAGGTTAGGTGTTTTAAAAAATTCTAGTCCCAAAAAATAAAATCACAGTTTAAACATAATCGTTTAATTTTGTTAGTTTGTATAGATATTTTAAAATTCACCTATATAGAATAGAAAAATAAAGTTCTCGTAAATCGATAATGATAAATAACCAATGTATCTGCATGGTAAATTAACCTTGAAAAAGTTCAAGCTTTTCTTATTCCTATCTATTATTCATTTTATTTGTTTATACGACGTAGTATGCTATGCTCTGATTTAAAACAATCAATCAAAATTAATCAAATTTAATTTTTTTGAATACATCGTCGTGATTTTACAATAATAATATACATATGATCATATAAGTAAGTATAAACCTCGATAATCATTGATTATTGTCATTAAATTATATTAGTTAAATACAATACTAAACGTGATTCATAGATTTCCGAGAAGTGTAGTAAGTATTAATTAATTAATAATTTATAATATTATGGATTAATTCAAGCACTAAAAATTTGTATTTTTATAAGACAAACTTTCGATGTGATCATTTTTCACATTCAGAAGTTCTTTTATCACTTCTGACCACACACCAGCCATAATATGTGTGCTCGCACCACAACTATTAGTGATCAAACATGAGCGAAAGTAGTTTTTTCTCTAATCCTCGATCGCAAATCAGACGATGCGGTTAGTTATGATTTTCGTCTGGGTGTATAGATTGATGATGGTCTGTTGCGGTACGCGTGTCTTATGCTGCTATACCTGGCATGTGTATGTAATGTATAACATTATATAGTGAGAGTGGCACGTCAAAACGGTTGTATGACTGTCGATCGGTGGTGAGTGTCATTTCCAAGTAGGTTAATCTCAACACACTGGTCACGTACCAATATTATTATATTATCGCTATAGTATGGTCGACGACATCGGCTGCAGGGCACCGGGAAATGAAATGTGTACCTATAGTGTTTATAGGTTTAATATAATCTATAAGTCGGGACAAATAATGAACATAGACGACAATAATGTGTTTATCGTTTAATTCATTCAGAGGTACATATTTGGTACTATACATATAAATTATAAATATATTTTCATAAACTTCAAACAAGTGACGACAACGGTTTTGAACCATTTCGTATACTCAGCGACTAATAAACACGTAGGGATACCACATTATAATATTATATTTTTTCACACTCGCGTCCCCATAACGAAACACTGAGATTAACGCTTATAACGTTAATATTAACTTTATAAGTTATAACATTTATCAATCATCAGTAATAAACATCACAAATATAAATCATTTAAATGAAAACTGTTAGGTGCGTTATCCGTTAACAAATAGGTACAATTTTTCTTTCTATTTTTCAATTTTCAACACGTTTTTAATTGCCTAATACTATTATGATTCATGTACTATATGTATTTATATACTCGTAGTTACATAGTTTATATAATAATTGTATATAAGTACTCGTGCTGTCTATTTACTTATTTACATTCTTCACAAACGAAAATACAATGCATGTGCATAATAAGACTGGGTTTTATATCTACCTACTATTTGCTGCTCCTTCGTCCTATTGTTAAAACTCGCAGTAGGAACATAATATAATATACAACGTTACAATGTTACAAAATATAACATATCATCCAAATATATATTTATTTAGTTTGGTTAGACTACTGTCAGCATTATAATTTCTGCCTATACCTTCAATTCTTCAAATGCTCGCATTATGATACCATAAATGTTGTAAGACTACTCAAATTTAGAGTATGCTATTTTTTCCGTTATCATTTTGTTATTATATTTAATGGTGTAAATAATAATGTAGGAAACGTGGATGTACTTATAGTATGATTCAACAAGACTCCCCGCGTGTAACAACCGTGACAATTTAATACAACTATTCCAAAAGAAAAAAAATACTATATCAACCGGTTGATTCGGTCATGTAGCGGACCACCGAGACTAGGTCAAGGTTACAATAGCAACAAACTTTATAATAATCGTTAAATATTGATACAAACCTAAATGTTTAGAACTGGATAATGATTATAGAAAAAATTTTGGTGGGTACTTAACTGTTTTTAATTTCTTTATCAAACGTTGTTCTATATATAATACTTATATTTTAAATACATTTATGCTGTAGACAAAAATATTCAAAACTACTGAAAATATTTCCAATTCAAAATAATTGTTTAAATTGCCATGCACCTCTGGCAGATATAACACGTTTTTTATTTTATTTTCACAATAATTTCTATTTCCCATTTATTTTCAATATGTTCTCAAAACATATAATTGACCACTTACTTTGAAAACTATACCTGTCCTATTTCGTAATTCCACGCTTGACAAAGATCTAATAAAGTGTAGTTATTTACGTGTCAAAAACAACTAATTTATATCATTAACAGTACAAAGACATAATGCCACTACTTTATCTTAAATTTTCATAAATTCGTGAACAAATAATTTTTCATAAATACAATTTGAAAAATTATACATAAATCGTATATTACATATTTATTGCTACTGATAATAGTTTTGAAATTAAATAGCACAATATTTGTGTTGAGCGGCACTGTTGTTTTTTATGGTTGAATAATTTATCTTTTTTTTTTTTAAATAAAATACCGATAATTCAACCCTGTCAAATGTATAGCTTACATTTTAAATTGTTTTCAGAAATACTTACGGCTTACGTTGAAAAATTATAACAATTGCTTACCACTTAAAAACGCTTAATAACAACTATCGTATTGTCAGCTGTTAGGTAACAACTCACGCCACTCACGATCGTTATTTCTATAATCAAGACATAATAAAAATATATTATGTAGATACACGAAATACCTTATTAGTATAAGTACTAGGTAACTATCATCATTCAATTACATACGATAAAAAATAAATTAATTTCGTTTAAGAAGTATAATGAAAGAAGTGCAACTGTATAATAACGATAAAGTTTTATCTCGAAATATTAATGAGGTACCTACAATGTTATGAGGGTTGTATACTTTTATAGCTTCTATATGCCACATTATAGTGATTTGATTAACACCGCAAACAAGATTGAAATGTGTCTTACCACGATCTTAGATTAAAGGTTACTGTAGGAAATCGTTATCGCTTACACATGTGTCTACTTAAATTTAGATAATTATTCAAAAACCTCATAGCGTTTATATCGTGAAGTTTAAATACAGACAGATTACAAATAATGAAATAAAAAAGAATATAAAAGAATTCGACAGGAATATAAAATATTCATAAATTAAGGTTCTATTAAAACCAATACAAAATAATATTTAGGTACCAACCTATGAACAATTTATTACATTAGTATTATATTAATATTAAATATACCTAGGTCCTAGGTAGATATGTGCATAGTGTATGCTATATTCACACGTTGGTATTTTTCAATTTTTCATTTACTATCCATAATACAATATTATTCTTCTTGCCATAGTATATTTATAAAATATGTATTAATTTTGAGTTGTTGATATGAGTAGTAAAATTATTAATTGTATTGAACTTCATAAGTCAAATAAAATATTTTGAGTTTTGTAATATTCTAAATAAACTGAATATCTGTACAATATATTGCAATAAACTAATTGAAAATCTATTTCATCACACAAAACTACATTCTTGATGATAAAAAATTATAAACTATTTTTAACTTCTTCCAATTTATACAAAATTTGATGAGAAATAAACTTAATAG